ACCACTGTTCGATCTCGGGCAACGTCGCGCGTCGCCGCCTGTGTCTGCCGGCAACCTGTTTTTTATGTCTTGTCGCTCGCGCGCAAATGTGCAAGGGTCATCACAAAATGCAAAATAACGTAGACCGATAAATTATATTGCAAAAAAAAAAATACAATTGAGCTACTCACTTATTGGTGAATAATATAGACATTATTGTATTTATGTAATGTTCAAATAGGAAGCAACGATTGATAAATCCTAGGTGAATAGTGTTTGTGATGTGTGGTAAATTCTAATTTGATTTTTGTAATGTGTTTTTAGAATTATTTTTTTAATTTACGTTGTAAATTATTTAAGTTAATACTACCAACCTGCTACAAAAATGTTTAAAGCTATTTGTACGATCATGGTTTCCGATTTATGGATAAATTTTAAAATTATTTTTAAACCAAGTCCAAGTTACCTCATGCATAATTGCTATGTTTAAGGGTCGGTACATATCAGAGAGAAGATGCGTCGCGTATATTCCGACAAATATTATGATATAACAATTATAGTACCTATTATACCATCATCCTTGTATAATAGACAACAGATTAATCGCGTAAAAATGCATACTTCAGTTGTTTCGCTCGGCTCGACGCATCTTCTTTCAGATTTGTGCCGACCCTAACTGCTCGCCGACCAGCTGGCCAAATGGGATCTCTGCTCGCCGGAAAGATAATGCGACGCGCACGACGTTGCATAAAGTTAACAAATGTATGATGAAGTTTGTCGGAATATACGCGACGCATCAAATTAAATGTATAAAAAAAACATGCTATCTGATCAAACACACCTCTGTATATTAGACTACTTGATAAATCATAATAAATCTCATTAGAGTAGACACTTAAATGATATAATAATTATTAGGTACGTATTTTAATATAATTAGTGATCTGGCTAAAACAAAAAAAATTATGACCAACTCTGACGTGCCTTCTTTTAATGGCCTAAAAACTGTCTATAGATGTTCTAAAGAATCAAAGATATGCGAAAGAAATCATGTAATTACATGGAATAAGGAATGAAACACTTGATACCTATCGAACTTGCAAAAACCGAAACAATTCGGTTAAAAATACCGAAATATTCTGAAACAGATTATTCCGGTTTAACATATTTGATTCTGTTACCGAAATGAATCGGTTACCAAATGAATCGGTTACCGAAATGAATCGGTTACCGAAATGAATCGGTTACCGAATGAATCGGTTACCGTAATGAATCGGTTAACAGTTTACCGTTTGGGTTAATAACAGTTACGTTTCGGTTATTAACCCTAACCGTCCGAACCCTGTTTGGCACAAGGGCCTACTTTGTAAACTACGCACCAGCCTTCCTCATAGCTTCTACACCCTTATGAGCTCTTACCTTTCTGAACGGATCTTCCAAGTCAAAGAAAAAGATAAAACCTCCAAATTCTTTGAGATCAAAGCTGGTGTTCCCCAAGGTTCAGTCCTGGGGCCGGTCCTATATACTGTCTATACAGCAGATCTTCCACAAATAGAGGGAATCACAACAGCCACATTCGCTGATGACACGGCAATTTTAGCTAGTAGCAAAGATCCTATTGCTGCATCACAAATCTTGCAAGTTGGACTAGACGCAATCACAAAATGGTTAGAGAAATGGAAAATTAAAGCAAGTGCCTCCAAATCGGTACAGATCACATTCACTCTCAGAACTGGAAATTGTCCTCAAGTAAAACTCGAAAACTTACCACTTCCTCACCATGAAAAAGTGCGATACCTTGGACTACATCTTGATCGACGGCTCACGTGGAACCATCATATCAAAACCAAGAGAAATGAATTAAATATTCGCTATAAAGACTTATCCTGGATCTTGGGAAGAAACAGCAAGTTGTCTATTGACAATAAGCTTTTAATCTACAAAACATTTCTCAAGCCTGTCTGGGCTTATGGAATCCAGTTATGGGGAAGCGCTAGCAATTCCAGCATTTCAGTACTAGAAAGAGCACAAAATGCCATACTTCGATCTCTAAGTAATGTGCCGTGGTTCATAGCCAACACTGAAATCCACAAATATCTAAGAATGAATACTGTGAAGGAAGAAATCCAAAATTACACACAAAATTACACAGACAGATTGAAACGACATCCAAATGAACTGGCAGCAAAGCTAATAAATCGAAGCTACAATAAGCGCCTTAAAAGAAAGGACATCCTGGACTTGTAACAAATCTGATGGAAGATAAAAACTACGAGTAGCTGTTCTCACTGGAGGACACACTCTACAAATGATGATACACTCAAAATACCTGCTTAAAGCACACAATGCTGATTGCAGACCACAAAGAAAAAAAAAAAAAAATTGAAAACACGAGCGTAGCGAGGGTTTACATTGGCACGAATTCGAAAAATCTTTTACGCTCAAGTTTCTTACAACATTTTTCAATGCTTTTTGCGAGGAAATAAAACAAATATATAGGTTAATAAAACTAAGTATGTATTAAAGGTAAAAATTATTTGTTAAAATGAAACGTGATATTTGAACGTGTTTTCGTGTCATACATTTTTATTTGAAAATATTCGTTCTAGGCTCTTTGAAATACTTTTGCCTCTAAAGTTTGACATATTTCCATCATTTTTTTTTTAAATATCTTTGGTGCTCGGCCAAAAGAAATTAAAAAAATACTTTTAAGCACGTGTGCAATAAAGGATTTCAGTACATTTTTATTTAACACGTTTTTAAAGACTCACTTTCGGTGCTTACAATGGATTAAAAAAATAGCGCTTTATGAGCGTCTGCATTGAAAAATATTCTTTTTATTAATTTTTTGTTTTTATTCTCCATAAAAACCTTTCTCAGACTTTATCAAACACAATAAAAATGAAATCAGCCATAGAAAGTCTGACTCATTGACGTATTTAAATACAATAAAATACAGTTGTAACCAAATTTATTCTCAAATCGGGTAGGTAGTAAGCAGTAATATGAAATTCAAAATAAAAGTCAGTTATGTAAGATATGGCACGAGTTACCATAAATTGTAACGAAAATGTTCATAGTCGCGTGACTATTTCATTGGGAGTCTGACAAGTTTCGTTGTCATTGTTATCTGACTAATAAGTAACAGAAATAAAAATTTTCTTAGACAGTTTACCTAAGATCTGTCAGAGGCGTTATACGTAGATTATATCACAATTACACACTTATGCAATGCCGTCTTTACCATAAGGGCACTAGGGGCCAGTGCCCCCAATCCGAGAGGGCGGGCCCCTGAAGGACAATTTCCTCTCACATTTAATATCAAAATATTATAGTCGGGCGTATTACACTTTTCTCGTTGCACGAACATCGATCATTTTCAAATTTTTTCAAATCAATATATTTATATGAATAATTTGAGGGATTCGAACACCATTATAACTTGCCATTAAAGTTCATAATTTTAACGTCTATTTTCAAGTTACTAATTTGTTTTTTTTGTTCTGTAATTTGAAAGTTTGCAAAAATAATAATATTTCTGAAAAAAAGTTATAGCTCAAAAGAAATCAGGGAAAAACTTTCTAAGCTTACTTCGTTTTTTACGGTGGAAGAAACAAATAAGTTGGAGAATTATTCATCATCATCATCTCAAGATAATACCTCTAAAGATCACTAGGAAAAAGAGGTTATTAAGTGTGACGAAAACGACAAACGTACATGGACAGAAAATGGCTCCTTTATTCCCCAGCAAAGAAATCTGTGTGCTGTTACTGCTGCCGTCTATTTAATACCACTATTGATACTGGACATAATTTGAGTTCTCCAAATATATATAAGGATTGGAAACATATAAGTAACTTATTGATGGAGCAAGTTGCAACACAATAAGACAATTTATGACGAATTATGTTAATTGATAGTGAGTTGTTGTCCCGATATAATATAGAAGTTAATCATTGGAAAAATGTCCTTAGGAGAATTGTTGCAGTAGTGAAGTTTTTAAATTTAGTATCTCAGCCTTAAATAACTTAATAAAGTCTGATAAATTAGAAGAAACTTTTCCAAATGTTAAAGTTGCTACAAGAGTATTCCTTTGTCTAATGGTTACCAATTGTAGTGGGGAGTGTTCATTTTCACACCTTAAGAGAGAAAATAATGAATTGCAAACAACAATATTACGAGAACGGCTAAAGAAAATATCACTTTCTATGCTCATAAGAGCATAGAAGGTGATATTCTTCAGAAAATAGAGTTTGAGGATTTAATAGAAGGTTTTGCTCAACAAAATCCTCGAAAGAAATTATTATCGTAATCACAATAAAAAAACAGCAGCATACACACTAATTTTATTAATGACATATTGTTTAATTATAATATATTAAATCATAGTAAAAAAAATGTATAGTTCGATTCGTACTCTATACATTCCAAAAGGGCCCCGAATTCTTGTGTGCCCAAGGGCCCCAGCATAGTCTAAGACGGCCCTGCACTTATGTCAAAGTTTCCTTTGAAATAAAGCTCAATAACTTATGTACTTATGTTCACGCTTTTACTTTTTTTTATTTAACAAAATTCTCATTGAAGTCGGGCCATCTTAGATTGCAAATGTAAAACAGAACGCTTCTCCGACTGCATTGAGAATTTTGTTTAGCCAGGTCACAATACAAGTTTATTTTTAGTTCGATATTGGCTGCGGTGTTTTTTAATTATTTATTCACAAAACTTATAACATGAGAAATGGAATGTCAAAAAATGATTTTTAAAACACAATTCCTATACTGTACGGCCCGAATTGAAAGAAATGAATGAATTATGCGTTTTTTCAGGTTGAAGATATTGTGTAAATCGCTTTTAGTTTTGATCGCTTAATTCCAGCGTAAGAAACACCGCGATAATTTCTAATGTTAATAGTGTAGCACTGGTTCCCGATTGGCGCACCCACTCTTCTTTACCCCAATATAATAATTTTCATTCTATTACTCTATTCGAGAAGCAGATAATTTGATTCTTTACGCGCGCAGGTCTGCCAGACAGCATGTTGCTGTGGTTGCTGCAGAAGTTGCGAGGTAGCCGGCCGCGACTGCAGGTATGCGTACGGCAGCATGCGACTTCGCAGTGTTCGGCCTTCTACATCACCGCTGATGATGACGTGTGAGTGCTTACTAAAGTGCACAGATGTTACCTCTCTTGTGCAGCACGCTGTTGAAATACAATTGTTGGTCTACTTTTTGTATTGCAAACACCATATGCATGAAAAGTGCTATTATTTTATTTTTTAGTTCTTAGTCCTGTTATTTTTAAATGTTAATAAATTATTTTTTTTTTATTGAAAACCATATTTTATAATACCATTTTACAATATTACTAGTCTATTCTAATTATAAGTAGATTGATGGTTCAATAAAAAGCCAAGTACAAGGTAACATTTCATAAAAATACATATTTAAAGATAATATATTTGAATTCTTAAAGAAACACAACAGTCATGTAAATTCTTGAAAAATATTATACACATATTTTTTATTATCGCATAATTATTAAATTACAAATGCATTGAGTTAAAATGTCACATGACGTCACCTGTTGTACATTTTCTACAAAACTGTGACGATAGCGAGCCCCCATTCGTCAACTTTGATGCCGATAATTTAGATAAGACAAAGCTAAGGCTTTGTCTTATAAAATCGAAGTAAAACATGTGTTTCATATTTTTCTATTATCTGACTCACGCACTAAATAGAATTTCCTGTTTTTCAGTCATCATCCCTATTCATTGAGATTTTTAATTTTAATAGATAAGTACGAATATGACAAATTGTGGGTTAGGCCACTTTTGCGCTGACGGTCTCAATTTATTTTCTTTCGATATGCTTTTTTTGGATAAAGAAAAATATTTTAGAATAATTGCGGGTGTATCAATCTACTGATTTTAAAAACTTTTTCACCTACGGGAAGCTGCATCATACACGGGCGAAGTCACGGGAAAACTGCTAGTTTCAAATTATAAAAAAATATATATAAGTATATGATTTGGTATGACATTTTAAGAGCCCCATTACAAATACAAACAAACTCGCTATACGGCCATACAAATTGAGTTTGGGTCGGCCGGTGCATCAAATACAAATTAAATAAAGTACAATTTACAAAAAGCAAAGCTGCTACGAACTATGGCAATAGTTTCCAACACTATGCAAGCAATTAAAGTATTTTTGATTCCGAGATCAAGAACGCCACAATAGGGATGATGACTGGGTAAAAAAAAATGCAATTCTATTTAGTCCGTCAGTCAGATAATAGAAAACTACTAGATACGTATTTTTTTTTTTTACTTCAATTTAACAAGAAATAGCTTAGATAACAGGCATTAAAGTTGAGGAGTGGGGGCTCGCTACGTCACAGTTGAGTAGAAAACGTACTCTAACGTGACGTCATGCGAAATTTCAACTCAATGTAACGCCGTAAATTTATGATTACAAAAAAAAAATAAAAAATACGTGTTTAATATTTTTTAATACTCTACCTGACGGACAAACAAACAAAAATTAGTCATCATCCCTATTGACCATTTCAGCGAAAACAGTCAAAATGTAATAGGGCCATTAACCAATGTGTGCTAACAATTGGTATCGGGCCCGATAATATCAACAAGGTAGCAAACCCGCCTTTTTAGGCGTCGTCAACTAGAGTGCGAGTCACGACATTAAAGGTAATGTGCGCTTATATTACACCTGAAAGAGTTAAAAAGGAAAAGTTGAATTTGTCAGTTACAAACTAATGTTGAACAAACAAAGTTCCAATAAGGTGTAAGAAAACAACATTAAACCTATAAAGGAATTAGATTGAAATAAGAATTTATAAAAAATATACTTCATATACTACAATTTCTTGCCTTATCTGTAAGTCTTAGTAGCTTTTATTTATATCGAAAATTGATAATATGGGAGTCTCATTGTAGCCAGGGGATGAAATAAAAAAAATTACAATAATTGATCCCAAATTAAACCAAATGACGATATGACAACGAAAATATTGATTTTATCAACTTTTAACTGACTCGGATATAAACTACCTATAACAATCTAATTTAAATTGCACATTAATCAGGTGTGTCGATTGTAACAATGAATCCCGTATCTAGGGTAGGTACTTTGTTACAGGAAAAGTTCTTTTATTTTCGGGAATAAATTAAAATCGCAAGGTGTGAGGTTGAGTCTATACCTTTCATTGTAATAAAATTAACATTCCTTTATTTCGCTACCCATCAATTTAAGTTTAATATCATTTTGTCTTTTTTGTTTGGAAAATAATTTCAATACGCTGTATAATCTGAGGCAATGCCAATTATTTCAAGATGGCCGTCTAAAAGTTTGTCAAGATTGTATACCAAAATTATCAAAATTAATGACAAGTATACATGCATTGTAACCCCTTGTAACACTGTTCCTACTTTATTCTACAGTTTTGCAAGTTTTTAATGCTCTATTTTGCGCAATCCTCACTGTCATTAACTGGCCTGTTGCCTTGTTTTTTTCATCTTTATGCACAGTCTTAAACGAGATACGCAGATAAGTCAGACATTAAATTAAAAAGAGTGGATTCGATTTGACAGTTACACTTTCGTGCTATTAAAATTTTTTATCCATCGTACAGCAAGTTTGCTTGGTGGCGTAGTGGATAAGCGCCGCGGCCCGCGATCGTTGTCGTTAAGCAACTTTCGCAAGGGTCGGTCACGGGATGGGTGAACAAAAAATTATTATCTCGAGCTACTCCGTGCTTCGGAAGGCACGTTAAGCCGTTGGTCCCGGCTGCATTTGCAGTCGTTAATACCCTCCAATCCGCGTTGGGCCAGTGTGAAGGGTCATGGCCCATCCTCTTTAACCATCCATAAGAAAAGCCTGAGCCCCTGCAGTGGGGACGTAAAAAAAAGGGCCGATGATGATGATGATGATGACAGTAAGTTTCAACTAATATTGTGCATAGTGAATCTTCGTTAGTGCAGAACAGACCAGACGTTTATGAATTATTAATTGTATTGTTTTATATAATTTATTTTTCTTGATCCTCAAAAATGTCGGGGCTGCAAAAGCATTCCGGAATTAGAATTCATTACCGACACGTTATTATATATTCTTAGAACAATGCTACCTTAAAAGTAAGTTGCTAACGTAATTTTGTCCGTTTCTTCATTAGACTTCTCCAGACAGCTGAGGAAGTTCATCTTCCAAAACTGCTGAAACCAGAATTTGGCGGTGGCTATAAAGAGTTCACAGTACGAGATATGCATTGCTTCCAGAAGGTAATTATTCTTATTCTAATATTTACTCTTGTTTCTTTCCACTGGAGCTGTATCTGTGTTACTATATGTTTTAGTTAAAAAAATAAATCGAGGAAAGGAACCAGGCAGATTTCAAAGTTTAATTCCCCGTGCTTTTATTGCTCCACAAATCTAAGGCAAAAGGCAACAAATCTGTTAAAAGTAAAATTTTAGGCTAAAATACAAATGTATTTTATGTAAACAATACGTGTACCTATCTACTTTCATTACTGCTTCTTTGTGTAAACCACGGTTTTCAAATTCCGTAGTCCAATCTTTTGCAGTTCGTTTATTGGAAGATTGAATTTAGTGGTTCCAATGTATTCAAAGTTTTTGAAGGAAATACACCTCATTTCGAGATAAGCACTTATTGTTTGCGTGACTGGATGGCGTGCAACCTACACTAACGTTAGGTAAATTTGTGTGCTATTTCTGGAAGGCAACTACTTGTTTCTTCATACTTGATTATTGGTAAGAAATGGGTTTTCGTCTTCAAGTTCATACTGATCTTGTATTGAATCGAACAAAAATATAATCCGTCATCACTTGTCATCACGCGCAAGTCGTCTAATAAATACACGCTCAAGATTTTATGTGATCTTTTATTTTAGGTAAACCATTAATGAAACAACTTTACAGATCGCAAAGTCAAGATTTATTTCATATTTAATATAATTCAATTACCTATTTACCAATTGGAGCTGTGTGGTTTGAGTTTGCACAGTCTTTTATAATAATTGATAATATATTGTGAAAGGTTATGGTAATATGGTTAAACACTTATATCAATAAAAGTAAAAATGATAACGAGTTTTCGAGATTGTTGTGATTAAATTGTAACTTAAAATGCTGATGCCATTAAATGTTTTTTTTTTTTTTACCTACTTACATTAGAAATAAAGTAAAAAGGTGTCTTTAAAGTCGTTGAATCTTATGATCACCCTTCTTATTTGGCGCTTCGCTCTTGACAGAGCGGTCGTGGTTACGTTGAGCGTCTACGTTAATGTTAGAGGAGGACACAGCCTTCCTCACGATCACTCGCCATCTTCCTGTTTGCAGACTGTCTGGCGTGGTCTGAAACCTGGTTGCCCACGGCGGATGTCACTTGATCAGTCCAGCGATTGAGTGATCAGCCATGTGCTTTGGTTCCCCTCTACCTTTCCTTGCACGACCAGCCGTTCTGTTGCCAACCGTTCCCTTTTCCAACTCACGCACTGTTTACGTCTCTGCCGCTTTAAAGGAATATTGGGAATACCAGAGTTCGCATTAGTCTAACTTTGGTGGTTTTGGTGATGTTCCGACTTTATCATACCATTCTGAACTTCTCCGCCGCGGGTCTATTAATGGCCATACGACGCTTTACCTACGCTTCATCTACGCAACCACCATTATTTGAGATTAAAGGTATAAAAATTGTTTGAAAACTTACCCCATATAGTAGAGTTCATATGTGTTATGTCTACCTTCGTTCATATGAATGCAACTCTTATCGCATCGATAGCTGTATTAGGTCTACATCTCCAGGGTACATCAGCGGCGGAACTCTTGAACTCCCAAGAGCGAGGTGCTCTAGTGAAACATGTCTTGGAAGCGGCCCGAGCTGAACCTGGCGACGAACACGCCTTAGAACCGGCGCTCACTCTACGGCCTGGACAAAGCATTGGTAAATAGTGCACACAGATTGTAGAAATGTTCACAATTGAGTTGTTGCATTGGACAAAAAAAAAACTAATTTCTCAGAATTTTTGAGTAAAGTTGATTTTTATGATTAATTACTTATACAAAGACAGCTTTTATTGATCATTTAAAATACTGTAAACTTTGAAACCTCGATCTTTATATCTCCATTTTAAATTCTAAAAACCTTTGTTTTTCAAAATCTGAAAGACCCGCATGTAAATTGTTGCAAACTAAGTTAATTTTAACTTGACAGCGTATATATATAAAGTTATATTTACATTAGCTAATTGTTATTCTTATTCCCACTGTTCTGCATTTTTTACTGTATTTGTTATTTGGAAGAAGATAAGTTTTTCTGCTATCTGACTTTACTTCCACAGTGCCAGCTTGCGTCAGTAGAGGCGTTGTCGCCAGTATGTTTCCGTTACATGACCGGCAAGCCTTAGAGAGTCTCAGGAAGAAGTGGGTTAAGACTTTATTTACTCCACAACCTTTAGGTAATAATTCTAAAATATATTAATGATAAAATATTTTTTATTGATATAGTAGTAACATAAAAAAGGTAACAACAAAGATTTTTTTTTATTTTATAAAAAAATTACTTGCGTTTCAGATGAAATTAGTGAATATTTTGGTGTTAAAATAGCTATGTATTTTGCCTGGCTTGGTCATTATACCCAGTCTTTGACAGTGCCTGCTGTCGTTGGTTTTATATTTTGGGTAAGTTAAATTGAATCCCATCATATTAAAATCACTAACCCAATATTATCACGTTATATATGGTTTGTTACCATACTCCTTCGAGCGGAATCATAAATGTGTTCCTTTTTTTTCAGATATGGTTAGGTACAGCGAATGAAAATTGGAAAGATATAGCTTACGTGTTATTCTCTCTATTCAACGTGTTATGGGCTTGTGTTTACTTGGAAACTTGGAAAAGGTATTTTTTTTTACCAATGTAATAAATAATTTACTTTAATAATGAAATTTATTAAAACGACACTGTTTTTTTTTTTTCAAATTTAAGATACTCAAATGTGTTGGCATATAAATGGGGCACACTGGACCAAAGAGACGATTTGCTAGTCGAACCTCGACCATTATTTCAGGTTAGTTTTATTTAATAAATTATAATTACCCAGAAGGTGTGATATTTTTTAGCCGACTAAAGAAGGGTTATGATTTTGGCCGGTATTTATGTAAGAATGTGCATCTGTTCCCTTATAACTTCGAAATTACTTATCGTAATAAATAAGGTATCGTTAGAAGCGTCTTAGTTGTCCGCGTGCTATAGGCTATGTGACGTTACATTAAATTGCCAAGATAATAAGTGCCTATAGACAGCATAAAGGAAGAAAGTAAAAAAATATATTATTCAATCATTCCACGTCAGGTATCAAATGAAAGGGCTTAATTGACACATATCAAAAATATGTTATTTTATAGCGCTAGCTATAATATAATAGCGTTTCACAACAGTTTGTTTTGTGATGAGCAGTGTCATACGACTACGCTATCCTTTGGTCATCGCTATAAAATGAATTTCTTGTTTAAAACTTTTTAGAGCGTGATTTAGCTGTAGTCGGGTTTTAGTTTTTGAATTTATATTTTTTCTATTTCAATGTATATCTCGTTTTAAATATTTTTATTTTATTTATGGAAATCCCTTAGTTATATTTAGTTAAAAATACAAGTTCCCTTGTTATACTGCATATATTAAACGTTATCTTATTAATTTAATAAAGATATGCATGTATTAATATGCTCAGGGTGAGATGGGCATCAGCCCAGTGACGGGGCGGCCGGAACCTCAGTACGCGGCGTGGAGACGTCGCGTGTGGCGGCACTGCGTGTCCTTCCCGGTGATGGTGGTGTGTCTGATAGTGGCGGCCGCGGCCACGACTGCCTTCCTGCGGGCGATGGTGAGTACAGTGACGAGTGTGGCTCACTGCGTGCCCTTCCCGGTGATGGTGGTGTGTCTGATAGTGGCGGCCGCGGCCACGACTGCCTTCCTGCGGGCGATGGTGAGTACAGTGACGAGTGTGGCTCACTGCGTGCCCTTCCCGGTGATGGTGGTGTGTCTGATAGTGGCGGCCGCGGCCACGACTGCCTTCCTGCGGGCGATGGTGAGTACAGTGACGAGTGTGGCTCACTGCGTGCCCTTCCCGGTGATGGTGGTGTGTCTGATAGTGGCGGCCGCGGCCACGACTGCCTTCCTGCGGGCGATGGTGAGTACAGTCTGTGTGTCTGTCTCCGCAGCCACTACTACCCTGTTTATCTGACTTTGTTGACATACGAGCTGCCTTAAATTATTTCTGAAGTTATCTTTATTAATAAGTTGTATTCTAGTAAGAAGTCGTATGTAATGTTGATCTATAATATTTCTTACAAATAAGCCCGTTTATATATCTGAGAATATAAACGGGTGTTGGGTAATACAAGAATAATATGATGCTAGATGTACCTAATCCTCTTAGGTTTATTTTATAATCTATTCAAATATGAGTAGTTTCACGTAGTAATTGAATTAGACTACTACAGACTAGATGTTGTTTCATAAAATAATAACAATGCGATTAATCTTATTGGGAACCTTTTTTACTAACAAATAGGACCTAAATTAGCTCGTGCAATTTTACTCAACAATTAATGCCGCTATTCCTCTACATTCTAGTCTTGTCCTTAACTATATATGGAATCTTATTCCGTGGTGTCAAAGTCGAAAATTGTGAAATGAAGAAAAATACTATGTGTGCAGGATCGGACATACAAATATGACCTCTAATACTTTATTGTAGGGTCAAAAATCGTTTAATTTACAGGAATCGCCTAATATTTAAGTACGTATATCTGTTCTGCGAAATACTGACTCCTATTTTGTCGCATTTTAAGAAATAAATATTTTTATTAACAGGATTGGTGGGAAACTAGAATAGTATATTTCACATGGATACCTCGCGCCTTCTTGGCTATCATTATTGCTATAGAGGAGGAGCTGTATGCAAGAATAGCTAGATGGCTCAACGACAAAGGTACTGTAATTTGTTCAAGGCTTTACGTTTTTTTTTGTTTTGAGTTGTGCAAAAAATACTATATGTTTGACTTGTCTATTTAAAAAAAACCTTTTTGTTCATGGGTTTGTGTTGTTTTTTTTTTGAAGTGTTTATTTTTATTTACTGTGAATTCATTAGAGTTTAATATTTATTTAATAAAAATCATAAAATATTCTTACATGAATAAACAATGTAGCACTTATTTCATAACGTTCTATACGTATATCTTTCTCACATATACATAATTATATTTTTAATGTTTTTGATGTTTCGCGAAATTAATTTAGAATAAAAAACTCTATACATTTAGAATGAAAAAATAATGATTTTTTTCTATGAAAAGTTTTGAAAATCTAAAAACAGGAATATTTCTCTCAGACAACCGTTATAATAATATAAATTTTAATTTTAAGTATTTACAACGTCACGATAGGGTTGACGACTAATTTTTGTTTGTTAATGGTAGATTAATGAAGAATATCAAATACTTTTTTTAATGTTTTGTGTAATCAAAAAATTACAGCGATACATCGAGTTGAAATGTTTTTTGTACAGTTTCTACAAAACTGTGACATAGCGAGCCCCCACTCCTCAAATTTAATGCCTATTATCTAAGCCATTTCTTGTTTAAATTGAAAAAAAAATCTGACTGACGGACTTAATATACTAATAATCTTATTTTACTAATATTCTTTTTTTTACCCAGTCGTCATCTCTATTAAAACATTATGGATATTTTTTTTTATTTTTTTTTTCTTTTACGTTTTATTTAAGAAATGTTTATTACATTGTAGTTATTAAAAATTTTGTGCATGATCATAGTTTGAAAAGTCCCTCAACTTTGTCTTCTACTATTTCTAGCACAATTCTTCCTTAGACCCTTTGTTTAAATAAATACAATATTCAATTAATTAGTTAGACTAAACCCAACGATATAATGTAAAATTATTAGAATTTAGTACAAAGTAGAAATACAGTATCGTAGCTTATAAACATACTATAGCGCATATTATTTTCTCTTTACTGCTTACCAAACGGGACTGGACAAAATACAACTCTATATAAATATACTGGTAACCCCGATAATCATATCAAATCAATTTTTAAACTCCCAACAGAAAACTATCGTCTCGAGACAAAGTATGAAAATCATCTGATTGTGAAAATAGCATTGGTTTGTATTCAAAACTGTAAAAAAATCTAACGCCCCGCTAAAAAGCTAAGCTTGCATCATGCTTTGTTTGTCATAGACAAAACGGAGAAGGTCATTAACAGAAATTGGTAATCTATGGTCGTTATAAAAGCACTATGGTTTGCCGACGCACGCGTTTTATTACTTTGCATGCATGTTTTTTATAAAGAAAACGATAACATAAATCTATGCACGTTAAGTAGAAATTTTACGAAACACATTCATCGTCATAACAAATTAATTGAAAATAATATTAATTAAACTCTAAATCATTTGAATTCAACATATTTTTTTAGTGATAGTTTCTATCCACAAATATCACATTTTCGATAATGTAGTAAAGCTTTTTAGCTTAACACTTTTTTTATTTTTCCATGGTAATGAAAAATACTTAGCCAGAAGAATTTAGTTATCAAAAACATGCTATTTGTTAATGTGAAAAGTTGATATATACATAATTTATTTGCATAAAATCACGTATAATTGAACAAATGGATTCGCTCGTTCTTTTGTTTTGTGTAATAATTATGTCAAAAGAACAAATTTGTAATTATAATGCTACAGAAATTGCAATACAGATAAAATATATATTGCGTATCACTACTTTGATAATGTAAAGTAATAAATTATAAACTTGATTACATTCATGATTTCGAAAATTGTTAAACACCTTATCCAAATTCAATCCCCATTCAATAAAGGTTTTGAAATAAAAATATAAAACAAAGCAGTGTTGATCAAATAATTTAATGAAGTTTGTGGTAATAGTGATGTCGCCTACAAAGAAATATTTAACAAAAACTTGCTAAAGTACAAATGGTATAAAATTAATTACATTAAATGTAACAACTATCGTTTAAAAAAAAACAATTACAAAAATGTAATAACAAAGATATTACAAATATCGCCCTGGCGCCCATACGTTATCCGTTCAAGTATTACGGTATGACGTCATTTCTCTGTCTGAATGTGTAGGCAGCGTTTTCTGTCAACTAGTAAGTTTCACAAACATAGCTGTTACTTTTGTATTATTTTCCCATATATTAGGGAATATAAAAAAGGAATGTGTATGAGCCCTTTGTTTGATTAGGAATCCAATTGTTCTGTTGTACATTCTCGAGATTTAGCAATTCATTGGTTTGATGCATAGTACGATGAATAAATAATGCAAGTTCATTTATTGAATACTCTTTGGGATCTATAAAATAATGACATTTTCTGTTTCAGTTTCAGTTTGTCAACTCGTTCATGAGCTTGTTCTATATCGCTTTCTACCTTCAAGATATGGATAAATTAAAAGAGGTAAGTTATTTAATAATAAAATGGCGCATCGGGTTACCGCGAAACGGCAAAAGCGCCTATCGTTTATAAACTTTGCTTTCGATACAATAAAGTTAAAAATCAATGAGAAAGGAAGGTTTTTTGTTTAAGCCGCTGTACTTTTACCTGTTCTGAACTTTACCCGACCTCCATGAAGTTTTGTTTTTAAATATCTTTCTATATTTCAGCAACTAGCAGTTTTGCTAATAACGAGACAAGTAATAGGCAATCTGAAGGAGTCCGCCTTGCCTTATATTATAGAGAATCTCAGATTAGCTAAGATATGCGTCGATGTATTTGGAGCAATAAGCCCTAGCAAAGGTGATTATAATGTGTATTTAATCAGTCTTAATTAAAGCAACATATTTAAGAAAATAAACCTTGCTAAGACTGTATTTACTTAATGTTTCTAATAATTTATAACCTTAAAGTTATTATGAATATTTATTTATGCAATTTGTGTAATAGTGTGGATGAGTCTCTAGAATTCCAGAGTTATTTAGGTCAAAAATATTATTTATTCTCCCAAATAGATAATATAATGTTTAAGTGAATTGACGCTTCATATTTCATATTTTTTGAATTTGCAATTTAACTGTATGTTTTTAAATACGACATTAATTAATCTTACTAGTTAGCGATGTTAAACGAAACGCATCAAAGAAATAATTAAAGCAAAAGTGCATAAAGCCTTATCAATATTAAGATATCGTTTTGAAATCATAGACAAATGGATATGCTTTTCTAAAAAGAAATTATTTTCACTCGGTATCTAAATTGAGTATTTAAAGTTAGGCACGTCTCACACCATACTTAAACCGGTTTTCGTTTCTGATTTTAGTTTTTTTAATGATCAGTTTGATAACAGTAAGACTAGCAGTGCTGCCAATAAACAAGGTTTAACGACAGAGTAAAATTTCGCTATAATTGCAATTTTAGTATTAGTCCAAATTCATATTATCCAGAGAATAAGCAAATCTTCTTCCTTCTAGGAGCAAAAAGTACTCCCGTAGAATCTCGTATTAGGTTAATCTTTGCAAAATCTCTGTTCGATAATATGAATTTTGACTAATACTAAGTAAATTTACTAAATCTTGTTTATTAATAACACTGTAAGACTTTTAATAACACTGAAAACTTGTTATTGAGAATAATCATTTCAGATTTTGTAATTAATTTAATTTTGCCTAATTTCAGCTCCTACATCAGCTCAGCTGACAGAGATGTTCGAGAAAAAGACAGATTCATCTGGCGGGTCACCTGAAAACAACCTCATCAATGGTGGGACAGAGAAAGACGGAGATAGAAGAGACTCGGAACCGGTAATAGGGCAAAAGGTGATACATCAGGCCGAACTTGAGTCTCAATTGTTCAAGGTGAGTAGTTGTAATATATCATAAGATGTTTTTTCGAATTCCAGACTAACCTAGAATAGAATAAAATTGTACACACATTTGCAAGGTTATCATAAAATATCAGATCATTCTAGAGTAAATTTTAATCTAACATTCAATTAAATCATGTTTAAAATAGATTACACAAAAAAGGATTTGTATAAGAAATAAAGATTAGGTTATATTAAAGATTAGGTGTTCTTTTAGATTTGCGCCAGAAACATAGGTATATTATAAACATTCGCCTTTAAATTTAATAATTTTGTATATCGACGAAAACCGCAATAAAATCTGTAATGTAGTTTAAATGGTCTCAGTGTACGGACAGCTCGAAGCGAATTTGGAACCTGGAGATGTTGACTTAAATACACAGATTATTATGATTACGAATATAATAATTCGGTCGAGTGATTAAATTCGTGTGTACGTTCCAGTACGATGGTACGTTCTGCGAGTACCTGGAGATGTTGACGCAGTTGGGTCACGTGATGTTGTTCTCGTCCGCGTTCCCGCTGGCGGCGGTGTGCGCGCTCCTCAACAACGCGGCCGAGATACGGGCCGACGCCTTCAAGCTGTGCCACGTGGCGCAGCGGCCGTTCGGGCAGCGCATCAGCAACATCGGCAGCTGGCAGGTGAGGACTACCGCTCGTACTGTAGCTATAGGCTAGCTATATACGGGCCGACGCCTTCAAGCTGTGCCACGTGGCGCAGCGGCCGTTCGGGCAGCGCATCAGCAACATCGGCAGCTGGCAGGTGAGGACTACCGCTCGTACTGTAGCTATAGGCTAGCTATATACGGGCCGACGCCTTCAAGCTGTGCCACGTGGCGCAGCGGCCGTTCGGGCAGCGCATCAGCAACATCGGCAGCTGGCAGGTGAGGACTACCGCTCGTACTGTAGCTATAGGCTAGCTATATACGGGCCGACGCCTTCAAGCTGTGCCACGTGGCGCAGCGGCCGTTCGGGCAGCGCATCAGCAACATCGGCAGCTGGCAGGTGAGGACTACCGCTCGTACTGTAGCTATAGGCTAGCTATATACGGGCCGACGCCTTCAAGCTGTGCCACGTGGCGCAGCGGCCGTTCGGGCAGCGCATCAGCAACATCGGCAGCTGGCAGGTGAGGACTACCGCTCGTACTGTAGCTATAGGCTAGCTATATACGGGCCGACGCCTTCAAGCTGTGCCACGTGGCGCAGCGGCCGTTCGGGCAGCGCATCAGCAACATCGGCAGCTGGCAGGTGAGGACTACCGCTCGTACTGTAGCTATAGGCTAGCTATATACGGGCCGACGCCTTCAAGCTGTGCCACGTGGCGCAGCGGCCGTTCGGGCAGCGCATCAGCAACATCGGCAGCTGGCAGGTGAGGACTACCGCTCGTACTGTAGCTATAGGCTAGCTATATACGGGCCGACGCCTTCAAGCTGTGCCACGTGGCGCAGCGGCCGTTCGGGCAGCGCATCAGCAACATCGGCAGCTGGCAGGTGAGGACTACCGCTCGTACTGTCTACTATGTTTTTACTTTCGATACAAAATATTTAACGGTTTCAAAATATCAAATTCCCGAATATCCACATGATGAAGTTTTACTTGCATTGATATTATTAGACAACATCACATATATTGTTCAAATTCCCAGATGTGTAGTTAAAGCACTCGAATTATAGAGCATCTGAAACAACGAAGGTACCGCAATACTCAAACCCAAGACATTATAGAAAAGTTAATTCTTTATATTGACGTGATCGTTCAGATATACGTACATATGTCGTCCGTCATTAGTTAGGGCTGACGTAAACTACCAGACGGTAGTAATAAAAAAATAAATGTTCGCATTGCGATACCTATATCTTATATCTTTCGGGCAGGCAGAGTGGACCGAACGCCACAATGTACGGTCCTTACATACATCTTTGCCTCATCCACTTCCATTGCTTATGCATCATCATCATCATCAGCCCTTTTACGTCCCCACTGCAGGGACTTAGATCTTCCTTATGGATGGTTAAGGAGGATGGGCCATGACCTTCCACGCTGGCCCAATGCGGATTGGAGGGTATTAACGACTGCAAATGCAGCCGGGACCAACGGCTTAACGTACCTTCCGAAGCACGAAGTAGCTCGAGATAATAATTTTTGGTCACCCATCCCGTGACCGACTCTTGCGAAAGTTGCTTAGCGAAAACGATCGCGGGCCGCAGCGCTTATCCACTACGCCACCGAGCTACTTTCTACTACCCCACCGAGTTACTTTTCATGCATACTCGCTGATTTTTAATGGCTTCTGTCATCACCTTCTAAAAGCACGTGATTGATTTGATCGTGAAAGGTGTGTCGTGGCATTCCTCGGCTTCTGAATCCTTTCCACTTTCACATTTGTATATCAGTTTTGTCATACTTTTTTCATGTCCGAACCAACGGAGCATACTATTGTTTAAAAAAATTCATAATCTTCTAAATAAGTTAATTATTTAATACATTTTTCCTTTGTCAAACTTTTTTCAATCATGTTACTTAAATCAGTATGCTTCTATTCTGAGCGATACTGAATTTATTTAAAATAAATATGTTAATTGTTGTTGTCAGCACGCTATGGAGGCCATGGTAGCAGTAGCGGTATTGGTGAACTGTGCCCTCATAGGACTTTCTGGTCCTGTACATCGTCTGCTACCAGATGCCACTCCTGCGCAAACTGTACTCGTCATAGTCGCGTTAGAGGTACACAACTATAGTAAGCTAGACTCCGAATTTGATAGCTGAACTTTTTAAGAAATGAGTTAAAATATAATATAAATATATATGTGTGCTTATATAGAACTAAACTCAATATCGACATCATAAATATTTCAGCTACCGAATTACACCTCCGATAATGGTTTATGATAATAACATAAGTATAATAAAATACAAATAATGTTCATGGATTTAGTTGATGGAAAAATTTATAGTCACGACAAAATCAGGCAAATCAAAATTATTCATGTACCAAATAATGCGTTGTATTTTGCACCTTATGGGTATGAAGATGAGTTTGATTTATATAATTAAATATGGCGAAATAGACTAACAACTAACTAATTGTGCAATGAACCTCATAAGGTTCATTGCACAATTAGCTAGTTGTATTTATTAGCTAGTTGTATTTGCAAACTATACATAGTTTTACGACGTGCAAACGATAGTCGACCTTAGGGTGGTAAAGCAATGACTTGACATTTTTATTTGTTTCTCAGCACGTGATATTGGTAATAGTACTTGCTCTCCGAATGGCGATACCGGAGATCCCCGGTTGGTTGGCCACTGAAATGGCCAAAGTGGAGTTCCAAAGAAGAGAAGCTATCAAAAACGCGCATGCTCCATTAATGGTGTGTATTTTTTTTTTCTTACATAATACTCATTAAACTTTTGACAACTATAAGGAAATATGTTTGTATGAATATGTGTAATCAAAAAAGCTTCAATTTAAAATGTTAAAATTAAGTATATTTTTAATAAATATTCATTTTCTTATTGTTATCGTTAAAGGTTAACCAGAAATAAGGGTAAAAGTATAAAGTGTAACAAACATGAATTAAAATTATGAAAATTTATTGTCTATTTCATTTAATAACAAAATGATGATGAGTTTTTTACTTATTCTATAAAAGGTACAGTAACAGGGAAGACTGACACCATAATCTACTACTATTGACATCAAATCCACAATTTTTTTTGTTTGTTATTTAAAACTTTACATGTGGCGTAATAAAAAACTTAATTTTATATATCGCACTCCCGGTGCGACACTGTCACTTATGCAAAAATTTAGTTTTTCAGGAGAAGAGTTTTAAACTCTGCCACATCACAAAACAATGACTTTAGAAGATACAGATGAGATGAATCATACGGAACACAGTTCCGTATGATTCATCTACAAAAGTAACATTATCGCACCAAGTAAAGGGGGCTTTAGAACAATTATTACATATTTAACTAATTTTTGTATTTTTTTGCAAAAGTGACAGTGTCGCACCGGGGGTGCGATATATATTTTTACATTTGGGCTATTCCGCAGTGACAGGTCATTAAACTGTTTTCTATTCTGTATCATAATTAATTTTACGAGTGAAAATGGTACCTTTGTTGATAACAGATATTTCCTCTAGGACTAATTAAGTATTTCTCTATTTTTTTATTTAAGTCTGAATGCACAAGTCAAGATGATGTAAGACCTCCTTCCCGCAACACGGCAACACCAACGACGCCTAAACAAAACGACAAACCAGAACGAAAGAAAATCAACATTGGGAAGATACCAGAAATACCGCCGTTCAGGTCAGTTACTGTTATGTCTTTGTTATGTCTTATGACCTAAGGTTCATTCTTGCACTTTTATTAATTGCACAAAGTCATATAACGGAATCGTAAAAGTCACTGTTAAGATATTTTTTGCTGCCTACAAGTAGACTATTGCGGTAATATCTTGATGGATTGTTGTTACTGTGTTATGCTATATAGAAAAATCAAAGTAACATTTTATGATGAGTAATTTTGATCAAAAATTAGATAAATAAATATTCATCCATTAAAATTACTGAAGTACCGAATATTTTATACATATTTAAATAAAGCTTGCTGTGTGGTCTGCATTTTACTTACTAAAAGCGGAATATTACACGTTCTGAAATTGTTGAATCACTTTTCAACCGATAAACTGCTGTAAAAAAGATCATTAGAGAGCTTAAACTGAATTTATATTTCATATATATAGAATCAACAACAAAAATATATATTTAAATAAAACATGCAATAGATGTACAGTAGATCTGTCGCTGCTAGTACTATAGCCTATTTACTATTATTATTAGACAATATTTAAGATTCTTCAATCGTTAATAATTTATGCACGTATTTTCATTTATTGTTTATTCAAACTTCAGCTTACTGAATGGTTCAAGGTAAAATGAATTAAAAAGATACCACCTTCCCCCTGTTTTCTCTCTACTTTAGACTCTGATTTTGCATCCGTGCATGCATGATTCATTGCAGATGATAAATAAAATAGATATTCGTCAACTCACCTAATGGTTCTTTTTTTGTTGTTGCAAAAAAAGAACCATTAGGTTTATGTTCATAAAATTGATGACATTTCAGGAAATAAGTGTGCCCTGAAAATGTATTTTCTAATTCTCATATATATTTTTTTATAATGACAGAACAGTAGAATAGCAAAATTTTATTAAGCCGAACTATGACGTCATTGGAGTCTGTCAATTATTTATGGAAAAATAATAAATGATAGTAGTATTTTATGAGATGTTGTCAATTATTTGAACTCTTTTATGCAACCGATGGAAAGCTGAAATAAGTCAAAGAATGTCTTCCATAGTGCGTCTTTAGATAAACAGGTGGTTTTGTGTTTAGTTAATATTTTTATTGAATTAAAAGCTTATTCAAATTATAATTTATGTTAAATAAATTTTTAAGTCATCACAATAAATTATGCTTCTGTTTATCATAAAATTGATGACATTTCAGGAAATATGTGTGCCCTGAAAATGTATTTTCTAATTCTCATATATATTTTTTTATAATGACAGAACAGTAGAATAGCAAAATTTTATTATGCCGAACTATGACGTCATTGGAGGCTGTCAATTATTTATGGAAAAATAATAAATGATAGTAGTATTTTATGAGATGTTGTCAATTATTTGAACTCTTTTATGCAACCGATGGAAAGCTGAAATAAGTCAAAGAATGTCTTCCATAGCGCGTCTTTAGATAAACAGGTGCATGTCATAAAAAATATAGATTGAAGAATTTAACAGTATTGAATACACATCGATGAGTTATCACCAGTGGTCGGAATTAGGTAGAGTTATTCATGTACTTACACTGATTTCATACAGCGAAAGAATAAAGTGGATATGCCTCAAATCCCGAGATTAATTTTAAAGAGCAGAAAAAATCCCGTGATTTTTAAATAAAAAGTTATTTACTTTTACACAATTTAAACTACTGCACGCACGACGTTGCCAAACTTACATCAATGACATCGGATGTCCTAAGTTGCAAAATACCAATACGCGCGATGTTGCCACGAAGGTCCACATTAATATCAACATTTCGATGCAAGTACATAAATAACTCTACCTAATTCCGACCTCTGGTTATCACATAAAACTAAAATCACATAATATCTAAAAAGCAATACAATAAAGTTTTTCTTTATCAAATTAATATTTAAATCAAAATATTAGCTATACGAAGGAAATCAGGTAGATTTTTAACAATATTCATAAAAATGTCTCTATATTAATTTTTATGAGCCGTATTTCTACAGCATAACAAGCATTTTGCTTTGGAACACAGCTCTTTCAAAGGCATTTCGTATTTTACAAAGACTATAGTTGTGACCTTTTACCTATCAATGTGTATAAGACAGTGCTATTACAATATAAGTGTCTCGTGTGTAATTTCATATTTTTATCAAACTGCTATTTATACTTATTTAAAATACAAAGTACTTGGCTTTCTTGTAGAAGAATTATTTTGAAATAACAGTTTGAGAAGCATTATTCGAATGTGCCAGTGGATCACGAATGGGCATAGATTTTAATTTGGTTTTATTTTTTTGTTTTCAGTTAATTTATCACAAGTATTGCCTGGATGGGTGTGTAGTTCACATTACATGGAAATATATTCATTGTTTACTAATTTAATAATGTATAACTAAATTATTATTTTATACCTCTTTGTATTGATGAGTAATATTCGTTGATTTTGTGTTTAGTTAATATTTTTATTGAATTAAAAGCTTATTCAAATTATAAGTTATGGTAAATAAATTTTTAAGTGATGACTTAAAAATTGATTTAACATAAATTATAATTTTATTGAATTAAAAGCTTATTCAAATTATAATTTATGTTAAATAAATTTTTAAGTCATCACAATAAATTATGCTTCTGTTTATATTTAACTAAGCAATTCATCATTTTAAATTTGTTATCTGTATTAACTACTTGCATTTTGTGTAATTTTAAAGAAAAAAATGATAATTTAAATCAATTCATGAAAACCCTCTATAAATCTATATGGTTATTAATAAAATTAAACAATTTTACTATTACATAATTTAGACCATAAAAACTGTTTATTATTTCGCCCGAAAGTCTTTAATACTTTCCTTTTATACATGTAAATATAGGCCTTATTTTGGCAGTTTGAAGTAATTAGTGATTTCCAGATCATTGCACTATTTTTATTGTTACTAAATTTTACACATGTCAAAATGTTTAGTGTAACCTTTACTGCCTAAGGTTCTAATCACCACACAATACTATTATATCTACGTACTACTATTTGCAAGTATTTAATATTCATCTGAATGCACAAAAATCACGTAATTTCTAAGGATATAAAAGGTAACGTTATTTTTTATATTATTTTCTTTCTAATTATGTTTTTTCAATATTTTTTTACTCCTTCACAAACACTCTTTCCACTGTAGCACTCTTGTATATAGCTTGTCTCTATCTATGATTTATGGTTCGATGGTTTCGTTTTCCTTTGAAGTTTCTTAATAATATTTTCAGACCAAAGGCTGCGTCGATAACCGAACCCGTGGTGACCACTGGATCGCTTCAATTGCTTCAAGATGTCAGTCCTACTAAGCCTATAAGGCGTAAGGTAATGTTATTTTCTTTTTGAAATAAATATAGTAAAATAAATATATATATATATATAATATATATATATAAATATTCATATTATAGAAAAATACTACATAAGTTTCACTTATAGTGTGCTCACCAAACAGAAAGAATTTCGTGTTTTGTTTCATTTTCACTCGTTCAGAAACATATTGCTACACTCGCACAGATGCATGTAGCAGATTTTGCCAAAGATGTAAAATTATAATTCACACTAATATTAAATTAGAAATACGGAATACTGTTTGGCAATTCAACTATAACTGAATGGTTAAAGCATTGGCCCGAATTGAGAAATGTTATGGCTTTAAAATCCATCTTGGGCACCCGAGATTGGCTCGGAGAATCTTTAAGTATATATTTTTTTAACAACAAAATTACTTGGGCCTTATCGGATTTATATATGTTTTTTGACATTGATGCTAGGGTATTGTATAATTAGAATTATAAAATTTCAGATATTTAAATTTTAGTTTATTAATATTAGTGATTATATAAGTTTATTTACACACAGGAGGTCGTGCCGGGAGTACCTTTATCGTTGTTGGGTGTTAGGGGGTTGCGCGACGAACCTCTACACAGATCTGCACACTGCATACCTCATCCTACACAACATCGACCATTGGTCAATCCTACTTTACAGGTGGGAAATTCTTTTATCTATACTAATGTTATAAATTAGATTTTATTTTGTGTTTCTTTCTATCAATATTATAAATACAGCAATGCCCCGCTTTACGCGAGGGATACGTTCCGGAAAAAATCGTGTTAGAGTCTGGCAAGCGAAACGTGTCACAAGAAAAGGGCGGCAATTTCAAAAATTCTTAAGCAGTAAACACTGAATGTAGTACTGCAAAATAATTTTGATACTTTTATTAATTATATTTAATCTTAACATTTAGATATCAATTAAAATTATTTGTTTTGGAACATTTGACTAAAGCGTGACTGTTCTTAATTGTACAGTTAACAGCATATCAGTAGGCCTATTCACTAACTCAACTGACAACCAAGAATCGTCATCACCGTAAAAAATAGACACTTTGATTGTGTCAAAATCACTATTTCGTATTCTCTATCAATGATGAGCAATTTCGAAATGTCAATATCGGCATTCTCCACTGGACTCCATTTTGACACTTGATTTCGTATCGATAAACTGTATTAAAGTAGCATTGTTGCAAAGCATATTTGAAGTCGTCGCATAGTACCTCTTAAGCCATTTGTTGTTAAATTAAAGCGAAAAAAAATACGTATCCAATATTTTTCTATTATCTGACTGACGGACTAAATCGAATCTTTTTTTTAACCCATTCGTTATACCTATTGGCTAACAGCACTTATAATATTAAAAATTCATATTTGTCATTAATTAAAAGGGTGTTTTTTGCAACGACTTCTTTGTTTTTTTGTAATGAATATGGGCGACTCTGGCCACATTTTTTTAATAAATGTGATGTTAGCCAATTTTGATTTCTGGCCCTTATATTTATAATGTGTTCATAACACATACATGTCTCCTAAGGGATTTTCATCACAACCTTTTGCTCTGATCCAGAACCACTATCTATCAAATTAAATTAGTCAATATAAACACCAGATTACAATAAAAAAAACATTTATTTTTGTTACAATTAAGTGCCATGGATAAATTACATAATACAGGTGTCACAAAATCATCATGTTAATCACAATAGAAAATTTAAGATAAGATTTTGACTATGAATCAGACTAAAAATACTTTAGTCTGATTCATAGTCAAAATCTGTTTCTAAATATTCTACACCTGATAACAATGACAAGGAATCATCAGAGTCACTCTCTTCACTACTGTCTGCACCAACAGATATAATAAATTTTTCAAGTTCGTTTTCAACAATGCCATCTTTTAATTTGTAATCATTTTCGACATTTAAAACATGATCAGTGTATTTCTTCCAGTCACTAGGGGTAATTAAGTTAAAACACTCTATTATTAAGTTTTCCATTTCCTTTCCTGGTATTCCAATGTTTCTGCTTGCAATTTTTCTTTTTGCTTGACTCCAAACCATCTCTATTGGGTTTAAGTCACAATGATACGGTGGCAGCAATAAAAGTTCATGATTATGTTCTTTTAAAATCTCTTCAGCTTCATATACAGGCAATGTTTTCTAATCATTAACCAAACACATTAACTCTGCCTTTGTCTGATATTCCTCAAAATGTATTCCATTATTTACAAGCCATTTACGGATATCTGCTTTGGTATTAGACATTATAGGCGGTTTATTGATTTGTTTTATATGGTAGCTGGCATTATCCATAACAATTACACTGGGCTTACTTAAATTTGGTATTAATTTTTCTCTGACCCATTTCATAAAGTTCGATGAGTTCATATCATCATGATAATCAGCAGATTTGGATTTACTACTGAACACTAATAATGCACCAGGCACAAAACCTTCCTCAGATCCAGCATGCACAACAATATGCCGTTTTCCAGAGGATATCTTTGTAGTGACACCAGTTGTTGAAGGTCCTTGCCAAGACTTTTTAACTTTATAATTCTGATGTACATAAGTTTCATCAAGGTACACAATTTGCTTTCCTTCGTTTCGTTTTATATTTATTTCTCTCAAATACTTGTGCCTCCATGCAGAAATCTGGTATTTTTCTATAAGCATAGAACATTCATTTTCATTGCTTTTAAAAGAAAATCCATTCTTAAGCATAATTTTTCGTAAAGTCTCACGGCTACCACTGAATCCTATTGCATCTTTTAATTCATTGTGAAGGCTTCTTAATGTTGGAACAATTCATTTACTTTATTCCGAATTGCACTTAAATCAAAATTATCTAAAGCAGACACTGTTGGTTGATGAGGTCGTTTTTTCCCAGGAGTGTCCCATTTTCCTTTATTAATTAATGCTTCATTTTTTATCCTTCTTAGTGTCCTTATACTTACATCTATAAAAGATTAAACACTTTGAAACAAAGATATGTTAAATGTATTTAAAAGCAAATAATGATAGACACATACATCAAAATAATTTAAATACCTATTCAACTATGAATGCAATTTATGTTTAATTTAGTTAAGTTTATGTGCATATTTAGCATGTATAACAATTACATGGTTTGATTAGTTTCATGAATTCTGTGAATTTCCTTGTTAAACAAAACATTCTTATGACATCATTGGATGTCAACAATAAAAACCAATACATCATAAAAAACCTATGTAAATATTATAGGAATACTATCAATCTATCTTAAATCAAAACAAGAAAAGAGACCTGTCATTGAAGAAATTTTTTGTAAGTACTGCGTTTCCGAATTCAGCATTTCTTGTTTTTCTAAAGTTTTTATTGCATTTATCTCCTCCATTATTGGTTGAATATCACCATCACAGTTATCTGAAATAGAGCAATATTTTATAAAAAATATCTGTTTAGTTAATTACAGAAAATTAAAACGAAAGTATCAAAATTATAATACAAAACTAACCTAAAAAAGATACAACTTTATCTAATCGTTGTAATTTCTCCATGAAATTTTTATTTAATTCAGTTTTCACTTCAGTAAACTTGTCAATCATGATGGAAAGAAGTTTCCTCGATGAACTTTTTATCGGCTTCGACATAATTTTTAACCAAAAACACAAGTTCAAATTCGCAAAAACAACAAAATTCAATATTCTTGAATTGTCTAACGTAGTGTCAAACTGACAGTTCTATGTTGTTGCCATATGAAAACGGAAAAATAGGTGGTGTCACGTTTCGCTTGCCAAACTCTAACTGAAATTCGCGTATATCGAGGTTTATGACAAAATTTAATACAAAAAAAAATACTAATAATTTTAATCAATCAATTTAATTTTAAGAAAACTTAATGCAATACATACAATTAATTATTTGTTCATCATTATTGTCTATACTCTGTTTGATCGCCACACAACTGGTAGACTTGTCTCGTCTGTGTCTCGCATTGCACGGCTTGTTTCTGAATGGTACACTAGTAAAGGTTTCAGTTTGAAATCACCAGTGGCATTACCACGCAGCAGAAGTGTTAGTCGATCTTCCGCAGCTTTGAATTTCGCGTTATAGTGAAAACGCGCATAACGGGGTCGCGTAAAGCAGTGTATTACTGTATAATAAGCATAAAAGTAGAGTAGCTCGGTGGCGTAGTGGATAAGCGCCGCGGTCCGCGATCGTAGTCGTTAAGCAACTTTCCCAAGGGTCGGTCACGAGATGGGTGACCAAAAATTATTATCTCGAGCTACTCCTTGCTTCGAAAGGCATGTTAAGCCGTTGGTCCCGGCTGCATTTGCAGTCGTTAATATCCTCCAATCCGCATTGGGCCAGCGTGAAGGGTCATGGCCCATCCTCCTTGACCATCCATAAGGAAGGCCTGAGCCCCTGCAGTGGGAACGTAAAAGGGCTGGTGATGATGATGAAGCATAAAAGTATATGAAACACTACCAGAAAAAAAAACTCCCGTATTTATTGTTATAACCGTTTAATGGCCTATTATATTGTTATCGCAGGAGTTATCTGGTAGCGTGAGTGCAGGCGGATCGGAGCCGGACCTTAACGCGGTCCCCTCCGTTTCGCCATCCGTCGACGCTAGCGCCACCTCCAGCGAGGACGACAAACCTAAGGATAAAGGAAGTGTGTACATTCATGACACGTTTATTTACTAATAGCTTTTGCCCGCGAGGTAAAATTACTTTGAGCAGCATTTCTAACGAATATTTATTCATTATATCGTGTAAAATACCTGAAATAAAGTTCATCATCTCCTTGGGGGTAGAATTGGTGAAAATCCTTTCTTAGGGGATGCCTACGTCATAGTAGCTTCATGCATGCATAGTCTCAGCCCGATCGGCTTAATATTGACAAAGTTTCATACAAACTTTCATCCCCTATTTTATCCCCTTGGGGGTACAATTGATCAAAATCCTTTCTTAGCGGATGACTACGTCATAACATCTACCTGCATGCCACATTTCAGCCCGATCCGTCCAGTGGTTTGGGCTGTGCGTTGATAGATCACTATGTCAGTCAGTCACTTTTGAATTATATATATTTAGATTCCATACTCAGTTATAATCACTGCAAATTGCTAATGAGCTTGGCCGCCATTTTGATGACGCAATTGCGTTAAAAAATCAGTACGGTTAACAAATAAACACTTTTTGACGAGTACACTTATTGAGTTGGATTGTGTTGAGATCACACATTGTTTTTGCTGGTTTCGATCGTTATTGTTAAGTTTTGTTGTAATTTTGTTATGGCTGACTTGAATAGCGACTGCTATTATGATTTTCACAATAAATAAACAAATATTTATAATTTACTTGACTTGTTAATTTTTGATGGTCCACTAAAATTTGAGTTTGTGCACCTAACATCGGGAGAAGCAACTTACTTCTCAATAGATATATAAGAAAACTTAATGTACATTCGTTTCTTTTTTGTGTATAAAAAGTGGTGCACTTAATTTTAACACCAGAAATAAATTAATAATTCATTTAAGGGTCGTTGTGTGCATTTCTACAATGATCCCAAGTTAATCACCAGACAGGTGGGTGATTTCTTTTAAAATTATATTTCAAAATAATCGTGTTGCCCATAATGTTACCATTGTTTTCTTATTTACTTTTATCTTAAGATAGGAATGAAAAGTGATTTCACAAATTAAATATTGTATTGATCTGGTAATGACATGGTTTTTGTTTTGGTTACTTCTATTAGAGCTGCTGAATTTCTTGCTTATTATTCTTATCGGTGAAAAGACGCCCTGAATGATACAGAAGTACTTTAAACAAGTTTATTTGATTAAAGATTTTGTCTATTTCTTTAAGGATGATTTTAAGGTAATTCTTACAGTCTCGAAAATTAATATAATCTGACATGTTGTATAGGTCGTTCGCGCGCTAAAGCAGCGTTAGTAAAACGCGTGCGATCTGTAGCCGTGTTCTCACTTGGACTGAAGCGAGCACGTGAAGCAGCACAGGGAGCTGAGAAACATACTCCGCACACGCCTGACAAATCGACTATGGTGAGTTTACAAACATACCCCGCACACGCCTGACAAATCGACTATGGTGAGTTTACAAACATACCCCGCACACGCCTGACAAATCTTCTATGGTGAGTTTACAAACATACCCCGCACACGCCTTATAAATCTACTATGGTGAGTTTACAAACATACCCCGCACACGCCTGACAAATCGACTATGGTGAGTTTACAAACATACCCCGCACACGCCTGACAAATCTTCTATGGTGAGTTTA